TGGATCTCTGTGAGTTCGAGGCCAGCCTGGTCTACCAAGTGAGTTCCAGGAAACGCGCAAAGCTACACAGAGAAACCCTGTCTCAAAAAAAAAAAAAAAAAAGATTCTGAGATTTTTTGTTTTTATCAAAGCGTTGGTGTCCACTCATTCTCACCCAAGGGAAAAGATATTCATTATGTTAAATGTAAGCTTATTTCCAGAGAGAGAGAGAGAGAGAGAAGGCTTCTGTCTTAGTTATTGTTCTGTTGCCCTGATGAAACACCATGACCAAGACAACTTATAAAATAAAGCATTTAATTGGGGGCTTGCTTATATTTACATTTTCAGAGGGTTAATCCATGATGGTCATGATAGCAGGGAGGCTGACCTCAAATTCATGATTTTCTGTTGCAGAATATTTGTTTAATTATGTAAAGATGTGTTGCTATTTTACCTTGCCTTCCTAAGGTACCTGATGGGTCTAATAAAAAGCTGAATGGCCAATAGCGAGGGAGGAGGTATAGGTGGAACTTCCGGGCAGGGAGAGTAAGTAAGAGGAGGAATTTAGGCTTGGAGTAGAAAGAAAGGAAGAAAGGAGACACCAGAGAGATGGCAGGGGCCAGCCAGTCAGATATGAAGAAAGCAGGAAAACAGTACATACAGAATGAAAGGTAGGGAAAAAAGCCCTGAGGCAAAAATGTAGATGAAAAGAAACAGGTTAAATTAACTTGAAAGAGCTAGTGGGACAAGCCTAAGCTAAAGCTGAGTATTCATAATAACAAGTCTCCATGTCCTTATTTGGGAGCTGGTTGGTGGCCCAAAGAAATGCCTGCCTCACTATCCTAAATTCTGGGATTAAGGCATGCACTACCATATCCAGATCTACATTTCCAATAGAATTTAAATAGGATCCAAGCCTCCAAACAGAATGTTCAAAATGTCCAGGATGTAACCCCAAATTACTGAGCATACAAAGGATGACAAAAATCTCAGTTCTCAAATGAACAAGGATGCCAACCCTGAACATGAAGCATTAACCATTTAGTGAAGGTTAATCCTCGTTGTTCTCTCACGTCTGCAGGTTCAGGCAAAGGGATCAACAGCTTTTTTCCTGGGCTGTCTTTCCCAGGGATATTTGTATAGCAATCATCTTTGTATGCTGAAGATAATTACCTCTTCTTGTTCCAAGAGGAGTTTTGTTTGCTCTCCAGGATGGGGGGTGGGGGAGGCACTATCACTCTTCAGGATAAAGTTGGGCAGATTCGTCTGCCACTTATGAAGACCATTTTCCTGCAGGCTATTGTCCTGTAATGTCATGACTTACATGGGTCAGGCATCCTCCAGGGCCTCATGGCGTCATGCTGGGAATGAGGCATACATGCTGACACTCTGCCTCTTGTTATAGGTGCCCCTCCTTTCTCACCCAAGGGTCTCATGTCTCCTGTTCATCAATTGGCACTCAAAACGTGTTAACTTACAAAGTTAACATATCCTTCAGAGTTCTTGACTCTAAAAAATCTACATGTAACCTCTAACATTGCATAGCCCAAGCAGGCCTTGAACTCAATCCTCCTACCCCAGCCTTCTCAGAACTGAGATTATAGGCATATGCTAGAACACTCAACTTCTGTAACATGTTTGAAGCCAATGGAAACATTCAGCTAGGCATAGTGTTCACATCTGTAGCCCTAGTACTCAGGGGGCTGAGATAGAATTCTCACAAGTTCAGAACTAGTTTGGGGTATATAGTAAGTTCTCGGCCAGCTTTAGCTACAACATGAGACCGTTTTTGGGGGCAGGGCATGAGGAGATGGCTCAGTGGTTAAAGTGCTTGCTGAGCAAGTAAGAGGCTCCGAATTTGGATCCCCAGAACTCAGGGCAATGCAGAGCGGGCATGGCAGCCCCCCTGTAACTCTTACTTTGGAAGATGGAGACGGGATTCCCAGAGCAAGTTAGCTACCAAGACTAGCTATATGGGTGAGTTCTGCATTTGACTAAGAGAGTCTGCCTCACAGAATAAGGTGAGAAAGAGTAGGTATACATGTGCCCACCTCCTATGCAGACATGTATTACATACTCATCAGGTACATACACATGAAAAGGAGAAAGAAGGGAAGAAGGGAAAGAGTCACCAAATTGACAAAGATGTGAAGAAAACAGTTTGTTTTGGGTTTAAAGGCAGCATCTGTATAGACCTGAATGTCCTAGAACTCTATGTAGATGAGGAGAGTCTCAAATTCACATAGATCCTCCTGCCTCTGCCTCCCAAGTGCAGGGATTAAAGCAAAGGTCTATGCCACCTGGACCAGGCCAAACCAATGTTTTTTTAAACAAATTGAGCTGGGCGTAGTAGTGCCCACTTTTCATCCCAGCACTGGGGAGGTAGAGACAGGGGGGTCTCTGTGAGTTCGAAGCTAGCCTAGTCTATGCAGAGTGCCAGGACTACAGAAAGACCTTGTCACAAACAAACAAACAAACAAACAAGTCATTTTATTGATTTATACTTGTTTGCATTGTTTATTCTCTGTGTGGGTGGTTTTTGTTTTTAAGATAGGATCTCTCTGGTTTTTGTTGTTGTTGTTTTTTGTTTGTTTTTCCAAAACAGGCTTTCTCCTGGTAGCCAGTCTTGCAACTAGCTCTGTAGACCAGACTGGCCTCGAACTCAAGATCCACCTGCTGGGATTAAAGGTGTATGCCATCTCACTTGGTGAGGCAGAATCTCAGAGCCAAGGCTAGCCCTGTATTTTACAAATTTTTCCCTATATATTTTAGGTCCAATTTATTAGTTTTAAACAAGTTTACTCATTCTACTAAATTCAGCCTTTTATCATTGGGTAATTCCTTTCTACTTCCGAGTAATCTGTTTTTCTGCCACCAGGACAAGCTAGATTGTCAACTTTTTGAGTACACCTGTTTTTTATGGTGCTGGGATTTGAACTGGGTTTCCTATATGCAAGAAAAGCACTTTATCAAATGAGCTACATCCCTAACCCTGTTTGTTTTTTGAAGAGAGGGTCTCTATACTCTAGTTGTGAGGCATCCATTCGAGAAGACCAATTGGACATGGGTTCTAGCAATATTTATTTCGGACCAAGTGCAGTCCCCAGCCTTTCTCAGGATGAGTTTTTAATTCTCTCTCTCTCTCTCTCTCTCTCTCTCTCTCTCTCTCTCTCTCTCTCTCTCACACACACACACACACACACACACACACACACACACACA